AAGTGTGAACATGCTTTTGCACAGGCAGCTGACAGTATGAACACACAACAGCGGTTTCCCATCAGCGCTCTCTGAGCAGCATTGTAACTGCCGGCGCTGTAACTCTGCCACTCTAGACATACCCTATATATGTTTCAGGTGGGAAAGGCAGTGTCCAGGTTAGAACCTTATTTATCTATCTATCTAAATTAAAATTGGAGGTTCTTTGTGTTCTTTACTTAAAGTTTCGTTTCTCATAAAAAAGTGTTTTGCCGACTCAGATTTTGTTCAAAATGTTGTTTAGGAAAAAGTTGTGAGACTCTTGACAAAAGAAAGACAAACAACAATACCAACAAGACCACAAATATCACTCCAGTAATCCTGCTAATCTGAATTGAGGTTTGTATTAAATCCTCAAGTAGTAAACTCTCTAAATTCTACTACTAGCGCCTGCAACTGACTGCTAACTCAAAACTGAAGTCCCAAAATTGTAGGCTGAAGTGAGGTCCCTTTGAAATGGTGTGGCACTAAAAAATTTAAAATATGTATGGGGATAATAAAACCTCACAGAATTACTGCATATTATTTAATGTTTGCAAAGGTTTTTGAAGATGAAAGGCGCTATATTAAAAAAAAAAACACTTTTTTTTTTAGGTTCAGGGCTAAGCCAGAGTGCAGTGTACCGACTTCAATTTAAACTTTTTAAAACTTTTAGGCATCTACTCATTTGAAGAGGCCAACTATGTCCTACAAAATACTGTGCCCAAACCGCTGTAAAACATTGATGCCAAATGTGTCATCTATAAAGTTGGAATAACCTATCCAAGAATGTCTTTCCTGAACGCAGACCATTCAGTACAAAGGCTGAAAAGACACCATCTTAGAGGTGACCCAGTGAAGCATAAAAAACTTCAGCTAGACAGAAAAGATTAAACCAAGAAATATTGAAGAAAATAATTAAACCAATCCATTGCTACCATGGATATTAAATTGGATATGGCATGTTATTTACTTGCAAAGCCATGTGGATAAAGTCACTGGGGGATAAAGTGTGAGAACAGATTTAGCACAACGTAAATCCAAACAGTCTCCTCTCCCAATCCAAAATAAAATCTCTAATAGTTTTTACTGGACCTCTGCCAGATTCCAGGCTACTAACTTTGGACTCCGTGTCCTCCTGGAGATGTGATTGTTCATCCACCTCGCTATCACACGTTCTTTACTCTTGCCAGAATACTTCCCACACATGGACAATAACCTGGATGCACACTGCAGAAACACTAAATTACTCTAGCACCCTTTCCATCACTCTGACAAGAAACACCACTATTACTAGCCCACTTCAAAAAAGGGGGACAATGTTCTTGCAGCCATTACTTTTATATAAATGAATCCAAATGAGAGTGGAAAGATATCAGTCCATCACCCTTGATACAATGGAAAACAGCATTTGGACCCAGAATTGTTGTACTGACTGTGCATGCCTGTATGTCTCCCTCCAATGGCTGGCTCACATGGAAGAACTACCTCCCTCCTCACTGGCGAGTTACTACTTTGGGTCAAGTAACTTAGGCTTATTTGTTTGGTGCTGAAGACACTTGGAGCTATCCCCATTAATGACAATTGTGCATGCAGCAACTGGCTTGCTGCATATTTCTAATCGCTAAAGAGGCAACATGGACCTACTGTCCTAAATCTTAGGTGTTTCTGCAGGAAGAACACAACAATAGCCCCTCTATGCGAACACAGCCTAGAGAATGACTAGGGACTAGGCTTTACTAGAATCACTACAGCAGCACAACTGCACCACTGTAGTGCATCTGGTGAAGATGCTCTATGCCGACGGGAGAGAGCTCTCCGGTCAACATACTTAAACCATCTCTGTGAGAGGCAGTAGTTATAGTGCTGTCCACACCGGAGCTTAGGTTGATGTAATTTATATTGCTCGGGGGGGAGGGGCTTATTCACTCCCCTGAGCGACATAAATTATGCTGACATAACCTGTAGAGCAGACAAACCCTAGATCTTTCAAATCTGCAGGTTCTCACTGCAAAGAGCACACTTCCCTACTCTTCTGTGTATCTCCTGGAGTTTAACTTAAAGATGACATCAGGTCATTTGGTCTCCTTGAAATGGAAGAGACAGATGGCTTTATTTCCTTTTTGCAGAAGTGGACTCCTAACAAGCTAGAATTTAAAAGTGGTGGATTACTTTTTAATCCACATAACATATAATCTGCAAATTTTCAATGTATATTGAGACTGGTAGAACTCGTATAAACTATATGATCAAAGGAACAGGGGGCATACATATGGGGTTGAGAAATATAAAGATATACAGCAACCACAAAATGCATTTTTCTTCTTAACCTTAGCACTCAGGCAAAATATTAGCCCCCTCTCCCTGCTGGAAAATTGTTCCTAAACAATCTAGTCAAGCCCAATGTTTTATATGCACACATACTTCATAGGTGATATACTGGAAAATAATACATTTTGAGGGAAGTGCATGCTGAAATAAAACCTCCTGGATAAAACTGAAGAATTTATTCAAAGCACAACCTGGGTGCAGAATCAGAGCACTCTTCTTCAAGGCAAAGATGGTGCTAAATGAAAACTGCAGCCTTAACCAAAAGTTGAGGAAAAGTAGCCACACTGCATTTAGGGCAGTGGTTCTTAACTGGGAGTCCGGGGCCCAAGGAGTCTGCCAAGCAGGGCCAGCATTAGACTTGCTCGAGATCAGGGCAGAAAGATGAAGCCCCATCACTGGGGCTGAAGCCCGAGGCCCTGAGTCCCACCACCCGGGACTGAATCCAAAGCCTGAGCAATGTAGCTTTGCAGGGGGCCCTGTGGCATGGGGCCCCAGGCAACTGCCCTGCTTGCTAACTCCTAATGCCGGCCCTGGCTTTTATAATGCAGAAAACTAATTATTGTGGCACAGGTGGGCCATGGAGTTTTTATAGCATTTTGGGGGCTGAGGGGGCTCAGAAAGAAAAAGGTTGAGAATCCCTGATTTAGAGCACTATGGTTATGTAAATAACTGGCCAAACGCTGAAGTTTTTGACTTCAGTGGTAATTTTGTCTGTGAGAGGACTAAATATAAGCTTACAATTCAGTCCATAGTTCTGGGGCATTTCTATTTTAATTGTGGTTTCTGATAGCCTTATCTACAACATACATCACCTTCTAGGGTTACTGCTGATTAAGTTCTGATTCAGATGCAAATGTATCTTTCCAACATCATGTGGTTTTTTTTTCCTCTATAGAAGACTACAGTGGAGCAAAGTTGATATAGGACCTATGCTAAGCAAAAAGGACAAACAACAGAATACTTTGCACCCATTGCTGCATGTGCATATGAACAGTCCAAGGAGACCAATTCCATTTAGGAAGTGCTGCCCTGGTTCCACAATGGCCAGCATTCTGGGTCTGGGACGAGCAGTCAAAAAAATACTATTTATTAAGACTGATGGGGCAAGAGCAATGGAAAACTCTGGATTTGGAGTACAGGGAGTCAGTCAGCAGCCGAAGTCTTCTTGTGTGGTGAAGGACACAGAAGCAACTGCTGCTCCAATCACAGGCAGTTCTCTCACTTCCCCTAAAAATATTTAATATCAGCACTGAAGAAGGGTCTATATATTAAGGCCAATCAGATTCTCAGGATATTCCAGACATATGCTCTGCTCCTCTTCTTAATGGCTTCAACTACTTTAATGTACTGTATTCTAATGAGAAAAACTGACCACTTAACATGTGTAATTAAATAATATTAAAAATACTTTTCCAACTACGTTTGCTTTTGAATTTAATTTCTAAAATTCCAGGAAGAAAACAATTACTGTAAAACTGTGGCCTGTATTTACTACCAGCCTCTGGAACAATTTCAGCATTCCATATATTACAGAGCAGCAGCACACCTAACAGAACTATTTTCAGAGGGGTAGCCATGTTAGTCTGTAACAGCAAAAACAACGAGGAGTCCTTGTGGCACCTTGGGCCTGGTCCCCACTTAGTCCGGACTTACCGCGGTCCAGACGCGGCCGGAAGTCTCCCCCCGTCGACGCCGCGTACTCCTCTCGGCGAGCTGGAGTACCGGCGCCGACTGTGAGCACTTCCGGGATCGATCCGGGATCGATTTATCGCGTCTTAACCAGACACGATAAATCGATCCCAGAACATCGATGGCGTGCCACCGGACCAGCCGGTAAGTAAAGACTAGGCCTTAGAGACTAACACATTTATTTGGGCATAAGCTTTTGTGGGCTAGAACCCACTTCATCGGATGCATGAAGTGAAAAATACAGGAGCAGGTATAAATACATGCAAGGATGGGGGTTGCTTTACCAAGTGTGAGGTCAGTCTAATGAGATAAATCAATTAACAGCAGGATATCAAGGGAGGAAAAATAACTTTTGAAGTGGTAAGAGAGTGGCCCATTACAGACAGCTGACAAGAAGGTGCATGTAACAGTAGGGAGAAATTAGTATTGGGGAAATTAAGTTTAGGTTTTGTAATGACCCAACCACTCCCAGTCTTTATTCAGGCTTAACCTAATGGTATCAAGTTTGCAAATTAATTCCAGTTCTGCAGCTTCACATTGGAGTCTGTTTTTGAAGTTTTTTGTTGAAGAATTGCCACTTTTAGGTCTGTTATTAACCCTGGGCAGGGCATGAGAAGGGACTAATTGATGCAACTTGCTTATGCTGTGCGAGCTTGCAGTTTTAGGGAAGGGTAAAAATAAGTGTAAGGGAGACAGGACTCACCTGGAACAATTCATCTAACAAGAATTCTTTCACAGGTTTTTGAAAGAGAACATTCTTTCCACTGATTAACCATTGTCATGTGAATTTTTCCTGCAGAAGTTTTTACACTGCAGTCTATCCAGGTAACACAACCAAGGCAGAATACATTTTTGTAGTCGATGAGGTGTCTCCATGCTAGGAAGTGGGTGGGATTTGGATAAACTCTGCTACATGCTCAACACTCAAATAGAGTCACGGACAAATAATGTTTTTCTTCTAGGATTGCAAGTCCCCAAGGGCAAAGACTGTATTCTTGGACAACAGGGGATGGATCACTCGATAACTGCCTGTTCATTCCCTCTGAAGCACCTGGCATTGGTCACTGTCGGAAGACAGGATATTGGGGTAGATGGACCATTGGTCTGACCAGTATAGCCGTTCTTATGTTCTTTGTTTCTTCTCTGTACAATGCCTAGCACAAAGGGCCCTGTTCCGAGACTGGGTTCTTAGGTGGTACCATAATACAAACAAATAATACACACTTGATAATATCCACACCTAACTTTTCTGGTTGATGGAAAAATTAAACTTACCATTTTGTTTCATTTTAACAATTAAAATGGCATTTTACCCAGGAGCTGTACCATGGAACATTATCTAGGTCCGATTCACCATACACCTCTCTGCACCAGCATGGCTCTCTCACTCCACTGGGGGATCCAACCCAAAGGATAGGAGGTGGAGGGACCATGACTGCTGCCCTCCCACAGGAGGCTCTTTAACTCATGTCAGGTACTCCACAATGGTTCTGATGGCACAGTCTCCGGAGAAGATACATACAATCAATGCTCTACTTGGACACCCAAGCCATGCAGTGTCCCAGCCAGCACCACCCATTTTTGGTGTCCTCTTCAGATTCCTGAGTCACCTAGCACAAAGGAAACTGCAGCCAGTTTCTATCACTGCCACCTCCACCTCTGACTGACCTTGTGCCACTGAGGCGTCTAACAGACCCTATGCTCTCCGTGCTTTGCAGCTACCACATTTCCCTTAACACAAATTACTGCACACCTTAAGCCAGACTCTGTTCTTGGTAACCCCACTATAGATCTGGAATAACTCCATTGAAGACAACTGAATCATTCTAGATTGATACAGACATAACATGAGAATTCGATCCTTTGTTTCTTCTCATTTTTATTGTTAAGAGAAGACTAGAAGGTGACAAGACGTTAAGATAACATACCAGAAAAGAAGAGGAAAAAGGCTTTTAAAAATTCCCTCAATTATGTCAATATCGCTTTTTTGTTAATCTTTTCACCTTTCATCTAAAATCAAATGTCACATCCTTTCAAAAATTTGATCATGTCCTCTATTGCTGAGTGTCCTATCGTTGCCTTCTACCTACCTACCATACTTATATGACACTTATTACCACAGTATCTGAGCGCCTCACAATCTTTAATACATGTATCTTCCCAACACCCCTGCATTGTATGGAAGTACTCTTAGCCCCATTCTACAGATGAAAACCTAAGCAGAAACACTATATGACTTGTCCACAGGGTCACACAGCACATTTGTGGCAGAACAGGAAACTGAACATATATTTCCCAAACATCAAATGAGGGTCCTAACCACAAGACCATTCTTCCTCATTGCTGAGGGATGGACTCAATAACCTAACAGGTCTTTTTTTATTAGCCAAGCTTGAGAAAGCTGTGTGATCAACTAGATGACATTTCTAACACTGCATCCGATCAATGCCAACATTTCAGAGAACGTTCAAGCAATCAACTATCAGAACATTACTGATTTTGGGCAAAGATTGGAAACTAAAAGGGAGAAAATTGGAAGACTAGGTTTACACTGCAATTGAAAGCCCGCAGCTGGGCAGTGCCAGCTGACTCAGGCTCACAAGGCTCGGGCTGCGGGGCTGTTTAATCGCAGTGTAGATATCTGAGCTTGGGCTGGAGCCTGGGTTCTAGGACCCTGCAAAGTGGAAGGGTCACAGAGCTCAGGCTACAGTTGGCGCCAGATTGTCTACACCACAATTAATCAGCCTCTTAGCCTGAGTCAGCATGGTCCATTCCCAGGTGTCTAATTGCAGTGTAGACATACCCTGTCATCTGTTTAGCACAGCCGCAGCTTTAGACACCTCTTGATTGTCTACAGAATAAACAACTGGTTGATGGTACCCATTAATGCCTTCCAGCATAACAATACCCCTGCTCATCCTCCCAATAGATTTGAACACACTGAATGACTTACCTCCCAGATGAATAATAATAAAATGGGAAAAGGAAGAATGGGGGGGGGACATAAAGGAATGGGGGGAATCAAGGCACACAAAAAGCCATGGTAGGGGAGAGGCACAACGGGGGGGCCCTGGTATAGGAGAGGGGTGGAGAGTAGCATTACAGGGAGTACCTGAAATTGAGGGGGATGGAAACATGGCACACAGGGAGTTTGTGGGGTGCAATGGAGGGATGCAAGGAGCCCCTGCGGTATGCAATAAGTTTGGTTGACAGAAGCTGTGAGACGTGTGACCCCCCTCCACCCCCGCCAGTCTATAACTACTGTGATTCCATTGTAGCATAAAGAGCTCTTCTTGGATTTGAGTAGATGGTCACCTTAGCATTAATGCTTTTATGAAGTGATCCATGTGAATGACACAAGTTATCTTTGTAATTAATTTCTGCTTTTCTTTATCTCAGAGTAGGAAATCTCTTTAAAACTGCCAGTGATGAAGCAGGAACTTTCTCTTCTTGCCTCTCTAACTTGTACGACTTCATATCTGGGGGGAAAAAAAAATACCCTGAATTGTTTTCCTCCTTGAATAAGCATACTCTGCCTGTTCATGCCAGGAATGCATTCCTAGCAACTCCACCTCTTTTAGAGGGAGTTATGCAATGCTAAAGAGTACAGCAGAGTTAACCCTTTATAACCTTATAAGCTCTGATGTGGTCACATCTCAAAGTAAACAAGGGTGAGAGTGATTGGTACTTGGGTGCTGGAACAATTTGCGTAGTTGGGGTGCAGAGAGGCATTGAACCAAACTGTAAACCCTGTGTATGGTGGAAACCACTCCAAGCCAGAGGGTGGAGCAGCACCCCCAGTGCCAGCACCTATGGCAGTACTTGGATGGAGGGCCTCTAAGGAATACTTGGGGCTTGTCTACATGGGGAAATTGACCAGAATAGCTATTGCAGAATAAGCTATTCCACAACAGCTCACCATGTGTTCTGGTGGGCATATTTTATTCCCAATTAATCAGCGTGCTCACAAAGTGCACTAATTATTCCAGAATCAAGTGATCTGCTCCGGAATGGAGTGGCCACAGGGAGATCTGTTCTGGAATAATGATTGTGGAATAGCTTGTTCTGAAATAGCTATTCTGGTCAATTTCCTCATATAGACAAGACCTTTGGTGCTGCAGAAGTGGGGGTGGCAATTCTGAAGTCTGGCATACTATATTCTCTCAAATTAAAGTGTAGCACTATGGTCCATTGTGTTGCTGGAGGTACCATTAACCATTTTTCGATAAGACACAATATCAAGATCCTGGACCATCTGTCTGTTGTATATCCTCTTGTCCTATTGCAAAGAAGAGAGGGCTGTAATCCCCAGGGGCCTGGCCAAATGATAATTTTGAGTAATTACATTCTGCCTGTTTAAAATTTCCCTTGTGGTTTCAATTGGATAACATATGCTTCAGTGCTAAACCCTTTCCACATTCCACTTCAGGGTGGCTACATTCAACCGTAATGAAGTGTTCCTGCCATAGACTTCGTATTTCAGTTAGTTATATTTGTCAATTGCTTTCAGATCCTTCAGAGTGAATGGTGCTACATAAATAAGAGTTCCTGATTAATTAATGAATGTGCAAAAAACATCGTAGAACAGCAACGAAATGGTGTTTGAATGAAGAATAGTTTCAGGTGTTTGTTTTCATATTTCTTTCATACTGCAAGGATACAAGCAAAATCTTCTCTGTGAATGAATATGCCTTTAGAACATCAATCACCTACCAACCATCTATAGAGTTAAAGTGCAGCAGCTCTTCATCAGAGTGTGTTATAAGAAAGAGCCTTAGAAGGAAGCAATTAAATTATTAATAATAAATACACTTTTAATATATTGCAACCGGTGTGCATGTAACTTGACAAACAGTCAAGACCCCGGCCCCAAAGAATCTACAATCTATAACATATAAACCAATAATTATCAGTAACAGAACAAAGGACTACAGGTTAGGAAAATAAATAAAAATATATATACACACAAAGGAGAAGTTGCACAAATCCAAGCCAGCTGTTACACAAGCAAAATCTGCAAGGCTGGGTGCCAAAGTTAGAAACCTGACTCAGAGGCCTGGGCACGCACAACTATTATTACATTCCACAGGAACTGTGGGTGCTCAGCCCCTTGGGAGGTGGGGGAAGAAATCGGGCCACTTATTCAGGTGCCTAACTTTAGCATCCAAGTTTGAAAGACTTGATCTTTGTAGCAACAACTGATTTAGATGTATTTAGGTGATTTATAGATTTGGATGCCAATTTTAGACACCCAAGTTGGAAAATTTTGGCCACGTTGTATGCAAGTCAATAATACCATGTGGATTAATGAAGTGCTATGAACAGTCTAAGCAATAAATTTTCTGAAGAATCAAGCAGTTGGATCAAGTATAAGAATGACCAAAAAACCAGTACAAATGGTGCTAGCTGCTGAGGTGTTGCATAATCTCAGCTGACGCATCAAAAGTGAATTACAAATCATATAGACAACATTTCCGAACAGTATCTATGCTGCTGAATTCAAAGCTAGACCAAAAAATCATCACCAAATTTCTTGAAAAGTTCAGTGCATATTCAATTGTCCATTAAAAGGCTGAAATTTTGTCAAGTGTCTCTCAGACATTATAAACCACCAGAGCTTTCCTGCTTAAGAGTACAGCAACTAAAATTGTTGTGAAAAGATGACAAATGTGTGTCACATAATTTCATGTAACCAACAGTTATTAAAATCTCTGTACTGGTATCACTAGTGTGGTCTCATTTCTGAACCCACGCACTGCCAATTCCATAACTCTCCATGACGCCTCTGTTCCTATTCCTCCTCCTGTCCCTTTGTCTCATGAATACCGTCTATGCCTGGAGTGTCAGTCCTGATCCTAGATTCCACTCCTTGTCTTTTAAATCCCTCCTGAAAACCCAACTTCTTCCATAATCCCAGTTAGAGCTGACACAGGATAGCGAGTCCTGTGGTACAACAATAGAAGTCTGGGATATAAGCCTAAAAATGAACCTGTACAAAAATTACTCAGATCTCTAAAATGTATTAATCCAAATGGAAACGGGAACAACAACAACAAAAAACCCACAAGTGTGCTTACAACATACTTTTAGCACATGCCATTTTATCAGCCCAAACACAAAGCATCTACCAGACTTTCTGAAAAATCTTTGCCATTTTATCAGCCCAAACAGTAGTTTAACATCTGGAAAGAATAGGCTAATTTCACTCCTGATCACGTGAGCAACCCCCCAAAAAAGTAACTGGGTCTAAGGGAAGAACCTGGTACCAGCTATTCATTTGACTGACAGATTCCAATCCTGCTCTGAAGTCATTCTCTCATTTGTGCTCAGATTTCTACACAGAAAATACAGCAGAGCCTTTACCATTCAGAGTTGTGTAAAAGAAAAAAAAGTGCTCATATGTTTTGTTTTTAAATACAACATTTTTGGAGGATACCAAGTTACAGGAATTATCCTCTCAAGTAAACAGGAATGTAGGAATGAGAGATTAGTCACCATGCGCAGTAACTGGAGTTCTTTGAGATGCATGTCCCTATGGATGCTCCACTTCAGGTGCACATGCACCCATGTGCCTTTCATCAGAAAGGCATCACATGTGTGCTCTAGTTCTCCCCATGCCCTGTACTGAGGACAGATACAGCTGCCTTCAGTTCCTTCTCTAGCCAAGAGACAAGACTTGGGAGCAAAGGGGAAGGAGGGTGGGTAATGGAATGCCCATAGGGGGACACACATCACAAACAACTATTACTGCATAAGGTGAGTAACCTCTCCTCCTTCTTTGAAGAATGTCCTATAGATGGCTCCATTTCAGGCAATAACCCCTGATGGAGATGATAGATTCAGAGTCAGATCTAGCACTGAAGACTACATTGCCAACATCATCAGCTCTAGGAAGCATAAACCAGAGTATAATGTTTGGGAAAAGTACGTATTGAGGTCCAGGTTGCAGTTCTGCAAATTTCAATAACTGGGAAACCCTTCAATATGGCCACAGAAGTAGACTGGGACTTTGGAGAATGGGCTATGATCATAGAAGGAGGCTGAACATTGGCAATGTCATAACAAGAGATAATACATCCAGAGATCCACTTTGAGAATCTTTGGGATGAAATTGCAGAACCTCTGGATCTGTCAGCAATTGACACAGAGTCTACGAGACTTTCTGAAAAAAATCTTTGCTTAAATCTAAATAGAAGGTCAGTGTTGCTCGGACATCCAATAAACGTAAGGCAGCTTCCTCTATGGTCTGGTGTGGCTTTGGAAAGAAAACCAGGAGGTGAATAACCTGATTCATATGGAATTCAGAAGGAACTTTCGGTAGAAATCTAGGCTGGGGTCATAATGAAACTTTGTACCTGAAGAACATTGTGAAGGGAGGGTTTGCCATCAGAGTCCCCATTTCTCCAACCCTTTGGGCAGAAGTGATGGCCACCAGGAAGGCTGTCTTCATAGAAAGGTGGAGTAATGAACAGATAGCCAGTGTTTCAAAGGAGGGCTTCATATCACAGTTAAGGACCAAGTTCAAATCTCATACTAGGGTGGAA